CGGATGGACATGAAAGTGCGCGCCAGTCATGATCTCTCGCGGATGACTTTTGCTATCTCCAGCAGGGCGTCGCACATCATTCTATTCGCCTCATCCGCCGCTGCATAGTGTTTCCTCTGCACCTCCACCTCGCTCTCTAGGATTTTGCACTGCCGTGACATCATATAGCATTGCCGCTTGCTGGCGCTGTCCATTGTGCCCGCAATAACCACACCATGCTTCTCCATTATGTCGGCGACGGCTTCAAAGGTTTGTTGCCGCATGTTCTTCCTCTTCCCATAACCGCCGCCGCTCCCCACGCTGAATGACGAGTCTTTCGTCGACCCCTGCTCCTCGTCTGCCGTATCCCCTCCACCATCGCCGCCCAAGGTGCCCCCCCCCCCCCCCCCCACGCTTGCGGGCATTTGAACCCCCCCCGCCGCCCCAGTATCCGCCAAATTTGTCGGGTGGATCCTGTGATCCCCCTTCGTCATGGCCTCCATTTCGTCGTACACGCTCCGGTCCATGCCGAAGCTGAAGCCCTCCGATTGCCTGTCCCTCGAAGCAAGCCTGAAGTAGTCCTTCCCGCCGGAGAGGTTCTGAAACTTGTGCACCTTCTTGAATTGCTGCATCAAGTTGTCCCATTTCTTCCCGCAGTCGACGGCATCCCTTGTCACTCCCATCGCCTGCAACCTCACCCGCACGTCCTCCCATTTCCACGCGGCCGTTTTCATGCGGGTGAAACTAGTCCCCAGGCCGGTGATATACAGATCTTGATCCCTTTTCGCCCTCACGAGCGCGACCGTATCTCCCACCGACCAGAAATTCCGGCTGCCCTCGCCATCGTCATCCATGTTCTTCGTCCGTCTCGGTTTCGTGGCGGGGCCCTTCTTAGCACCGGATCCGCCTCTCGTCGCCCTCCTCCCAAGTGGCCTGATGTCTGGCAAATCGTCGGACTTGCAACCGTCCTCGCCGTCCACGTCGTCACACCCCTGCCCCTCATCAACAGCCGCGTCTTCCACTTCGTCAACGTGCAGCCGTTGCACCCCTCTGGTGATCGTCTCCGTTTCACCTCGATGCAACTCCTGCCTGCATTTTGCCCAGACCTGCGTGCCGTTGCGTTCCACGTCCGGAACTCCCCCAATCAAATCCTCCGCCGGCTGCCGCCCTCGACTAGCGTCGGGTCCGCTTCGCGCCGCAGGCGACAAGCACATCCAGTCCGGTCGTTTACGCGCACCGATTCCTCCACCTACGCTCGGCGACGAGTTATTACGATCACCTTCACCGACGCTCGGCGTGTTGTCCGCGTAATCCCCACCCGGGTGGGGATTGATGATCCGAGTGTGCGTTGCGGCTGCTCCGCTGCTGCTCGATTGATGAAAGCTCAGATCAACCGCTGCATCGCCGTCGTCATCGCACAGCCCCTCGTTCAGAAGTGACGTGTAAGACCACGGCGTCTCCACCCCCCTGTCGCCACACGATTGAGTAGCCTCCCAGTCCTGCATAGAACCGCTTCCCAACGGCAAAGTCGGTGACCTGGCTTCCCCCCCCTTGTCATCCGACGGCGGCAGAGGAATCTCGTGAGAAGGCAGGTGCGCATACAACCTCAGGTCGTACGGCTGCTTCGCCACCGACCCCGCACTGCGTTGGCGATTGATAGATCCGCCGGATGTGCCTGCCCGTCTGCCGTTCGGCAGCCGTCCAGCCATCCTGTTGGCCTTCCTGGGAGATCTCCTTCTGCGAGACGCGACCGGGACGAGGCCGACGAGACAGACGTGGTAAAAGACAACGGAGAGAAGCAGCAAGACGACGAGGAACAGCAGGGGAAGCCTGTGCAGCAGGTCGGCCATGTAAGGGCCGTTCAAAGGGGATAAAACCGACGTCAGCGGTGGACCGTTCAACGAACAAGGTCGTCGAGACAAGGAACATCGGTGGAAGATCTGTGCTCGAACGTGCGAGGCGTGACGGCAGTGGAAGAAAACGACGATCCTGTCAAATGACTGTCGTCGCTGAACGGGGAGCCGTGTACAAAAACTTTCGAATTTCGGACCGTTGTCGACGACCGCCCGCCGGAGCAGACCGCACGACGGCGGTGGCCGTCGAGTCGCGCGGACGGACGGAGGCCTCGCGCCGCTGGTTACCGTTTGGAGCCGATGGGTCGACGAGCAGACTTTCGACGCGGAGATGTCCAGGCTCCCTTTCGGCGGACCACGTCTGGACCACCCTCCAACCGAAATTGTGCGTCGACGCATGCCTTCGTCGCTCCGAAGTTCGCGCTTCCTTGTGTTACGAGGGACCTCGGGAGGTCCCTTGGGGTTTAGGGAAAATTTGCTGTGGCCACAAGGACGCCACAAGGAAACATCCTTGTGGTGTTTTCACATTTTTTTTCGACGATCGTCCCCAAGGACAGGTCTAACGATCATTTCCTTGTGGATTTCGGGTCCACAAGGAGTGTCTAACGAGACCCTAAGCCACCAGTGCTCTCTAAAGTTGAGCCCGTTAACAAAACCACAATTTTATTTTTTCCTTCTTTCTTGTTTTTTTTTTTTTTTTTTTTTTTTGGTTGAATGCCTCTGTGTAAGCCCTCCATCCCGGTGGTGGTAAGAGAACCGTCCGAATTGACGGCTTAAAACCGGGTCCAGCGTCCCGTTAAAAATAACATGGGTTACGGGGATTGTTGTATGTTGTTAAAAAAAAAAAAAAAAAAAAAAAAAGAAACCACAATTTTAGTCAACGTACGGGCCGCTACAGGAGCGCCCAAATTCATCCGACTAGAAACATTTCTACTCTTTTTTTTCTCCGCGGCCTATAGCTGGGCCAAGTACTGGTGGTTTAACAGTCTTACAGCATTCATTTTTGTTGTTTTGCAACAACAAGGCCTTTTTCCTGTTTTCGTTTTTTTCCTTCTGAAACAAGGGCACCTGAGTCACATCTTTGGTTAAACAAAAATATGCAGAAAAAACACGAACTGACAGTTTTGTCATGGCCTTAGCTTGGAATGGGCAAAAAATGCAAAAGTAGCTGGTTTTTTCCCCTTTTTTTGCCTTTTTTGGACGCAGGCCGTCTGCACACCACGGCCCGCCCCTGTAGTTATGACCTCCTGGCTTAGGGCATACTCACACTGTGACCTATAATCCCAAAACTACCCCGGGCCAAAGGGGTAGCGGGCCAATCACACAGATTTCCCAAAGTACGAAATGTACTATTGGTGTGCCCATTTGTCAGCGGCTTGGGAAGCCGCGGGGAAAGGGATTTTCCGGTCATCAGGTGACTGCAAATGCCCTTTTTTTTTCGTATTTTCTTCAAAAATTGGCAAAATTTTGTTCACAAAAGTTCTTGCACAATTTGTGGATGGCGCCGTGTGACCAGCCAAGAACCAAGTCCCCATTTCTCCAGACGGCCGCGACCTTGTCCCATCTGAACCATGCCCAAAACCTCAAATTGGCCCTTCCCAAATCTGCATATTTTGCGGATTTGGGGTCGCAGTGTGAGTATGCGCTTATTACAAAGTGCCACACCTCTTTTACTGCCTTTTCAAACTAGCAGTTGAGTGACCTGCTGGTACGTGTTTCTTTTGCCCATTTCATAACTCCATTGTGACTCTAACGTGCTCTCCCACTTTTTTTTGTCACCAATAGCTCCTGATCTATTCTTGGGCCCAGCGGTCTATCAAATAATGCTTTCAGTTTCAAGCCTCCAGCCACGATACACTAGGCTTGAAGTGTCTCCTATGAGTCCTATCCCATTATGGCATGAGAATCAGCTTGTTTGACTAAATTACCATTACCTCGCCCGGCTATTGAGCTCCAAAACAAAGCTTTTTTTTTTCTTTTTTTTTTCCCCTCTGAAACAGGCTCCAGTCTATTGGTGGGGAGCTGCACCTGCTGGAAAACGGGTCCTGCGCGCCAAAAAAAAAAAACTGGCACGGGCGTCATTGTGGTTGGCACTGCCAGCCATTTTGGTCCAGTATCCCGACCCCGGAAAGATGCTGCTGTATACGAGCCGCATATTTGTTTTTCAAGCTGGGCGAAGTACTGGTGGTGGTAAATTGCGAACTATATAACTTGAGAAACAAGGCACGTAGAGCAACGAGGGACATCTTCCTTTTCTTTCTTTTCTGAAGTGGGAGCAGCCCCTTGTAACCATATCTTATCCATCTCCATTCCGTCAGGATTTTTTTTTTTATTATTATTTTTTTTTTTCCTGCGTACAAAACGTTATGTGCGTGGACCATTCAGTCACCACATGGATTGCTGGGTAGAACCAAATTTTTGATAATGGAATAGTAAGGCTGGAAGGGTGTCTCATAGGGGACCGGTTAGGCAATACATCGGGATGATCAAATGGTCAGGTGCGGGCAGGCCTGTCATATGCCTAGTAGCCAGCATCTACAACTACCTGGGCTTTTGTAAAAAAAAAAAAAAAAAAAAAAAACCTTGAAAAAGGAATATTCAGTTTGATGACCTGCCACTCATTCCTCTTCAGCTGGACAGCTCAACAAATGTAAGGTCAGCAGCTACCGCGGAAGGGAACATAACACATATGCATTGTAAACGAATACAACGCTTACGGTGCGTTGTATTCGAATACAAAGCATATGTGTTCTATTTGAATAGCCCTAAATATAGAATACACCGCATTTGCGTTCTATTCACTTTTTTTTTTTAACTCGAAAACTCGAAAACAATGCATATGGGTTATGTTCGGGGGAAGAAGGTACTAGTAAGACTAGGAGGGCTCTCGTGGCAGGGGTGTGGCGGAACCTCGCTCCTAGTGGGCAGAGGCGGTTTTGTAGTGTGCTCATTCCTGGATCAGGGGTCGATTGCTTCCCCATCTTGATTCGATTACTCCATGTCCAGTCAGGAAGATTAGCTTGGTATGTCCCCCCCCTTTTCGTAACTGGGGCTGAGGATGACGCTTATTGCCGACCAAGTTAACCACCGCCACGTGCTTGGGGGTTGGGGCCAGTCACCTGTTGGGGGTTGGCTGATGTGTCACATCAAAGTGGGTGGATGGTAAGATGAGATTGTACGTCTGTCCTTACCGTCAAAGTTTCAAATTTCATAAAATGTAACAAGGGACGCTGGACCCGCTTTCCAGCAGGTGCTGCTCCCCACCAATAGATGGAGCCATCCAAAATGGGGTCTGCTAATGGAGGAT